TACGTCATTCCTTTTGTTTTCCCTTCTTTTGATCTGCCTTGTAAATTGACAGAAGCACTTTCATGATGTTGATGACGTCAGGGTTAAGAGTCCCTTCCACTGGCCATGGTTGTTCAATGTCAGGCCAACGTTTGTTTCATTTGCCGGATAACCTCGCAATACCCTTAACTAAAGGATTACTATTTTCAACTATATCAACCGGTGTAATGACTTTCATAGCCTTGCTGTCCTTTCTCCCCATTGTAACTACTCTTTTATATTCCTTTATTGTGAATTATTTTATTTTAGACTATATAGCCTATGGCTTCCCCCCTTTAATTATTAATATAAACTAAACAACTCCAAAAAAAATGTATAATCAATTAATAAAAAATGAATATTTAAAAAATTCAATTTAAAATTGTATTCAAAAAATATTTTTAATTAAAATAAAATATCAATTAATAAAAATAAAAAATCAATTAAAAATTATGAATAATTATAACCAATTTTTTTATCTCTATATCCTATCTTACCAATTTATCACTTAGTGTCTATCTTACCACAACCCATCCGGACAGTAAATACAAGTAGTCAACTTCACAGCAATCCCAAAAACCAAAGACTTCCAATCAAACTTTTTGTCCAAAAATGATGCAGAAAAGCTAATCTCCATTGGGATTATCTGGTTTACTGGTGCTTTCCATGCCGTCCCTAGGAGGGGTGCATCACTTGAGTGGGCTTAGTCACTGACGTGATCTTCCTGTCCGGTTTGTCGCCACCTCGGGCTCATGCAGTGGAGGAGATCTTCGTGGGCTATACTCAGCCTTGTCTCAGGGTAGTAGGTTGGTGGTCTGTTGATATCCCTCTGGTGGTATGGGGGCTGTGCTTTGGCAAAGTGGGTGGGGTTATGTCCTGCCTGGTTGGCCCTGTCTGGGGGTATCATCGGATGAAGCCACAGTGTCTCCCGACCCCCCCCCCCCCCCCCCCCTCTCAGCGTCCAGTATCTATGCAGCAATAGTCTATGTGCCGGGGGCTAGGGTCAGTCTGTTATATCTGGTGTTATTCTCCTGTCTTATCCGCTGTCCTGTGTGAATTTAAGTATGCTCCCTCTAATTCTCTCTCTCTCCCTCTCATCCCGGAGGACCTGAGCCCTAGGACCAATCTGGCCTTAATGGCCATGTACTGTTATAATCTCCACCCGGCACAGCCAGAAGGGGACTGGCCACCCCTCCAGAGCCTGGTTCCTCTCTAGGTTTCTACCAAGGTTTCTGCCTTTCTAGGGAGTTTTTCCTAGCCACTGTGCTTCTACATCTGCATTGCTTGCTGTTTGGGGTTTTAGGCTGGGTTTCTGTATAGCACTTTGTGACATCTGCTAATGTAAAAAGGGCTTTATAAATCAAATTTGATTGATTGATTGATTCGCACAATCCTCTTCTGAATAGGGTGCGGAGCACCGGCTCATTCCATCCGCTGGATGCTGCCACTGTACGGAAGGCGAGGGCATACTCCGCAGCGTTCTGGCCTTCCTGCCGCAGTTGAAGTAAGCGGTCGCGTCCATCTCTGCCCTCTGGTGGATGGTTGAGACACCCCTTAACAGAGCCATGAACCCCTCATAGGAATCCAGCTCCTCCTCTCCTCTCTCTCAGACAGCCGTAGCCCACTCCAACGCCCGTCCAGTCAGCAGGGAAATAACCGTGGCAACCTTGGATCTCTCGGTGGTGGGGGCTCCCATCTGATGAGTAAAATAGAGGGAGCACTGGACCTGGACAGACTGCTGGATGGGCTGGGATACTGTTTTGCTAGGTCGACTGGTGGTAGATAATCCTCCGCCCGAGGGAGGTGTTGCCCCTTGGGTAACGTCGAGACACTGCAGAACGCGGAGGACCTCTTCCATAGCCGTCCCCAGTTGAGCCAGCTGGTCTTGGTGTTGGCGAAGTACGTTTCCCTGTTCGCTGACCATCTGGGAGAAGCCTTGATCAACTTCTGCTTCCATAATATGGAAGCGTTATTCTGTAACGTAGATGCTGGGAGTCAGGAAGCAGGTGCAGTTGGAGAGTTTAATAGAACACGAACAATAAACAATACAAAAACAGGAGTAGCGTCGGGACATGGAATGAGTCAATAACGCCTGATGGGAAATAAGTCCCATTTAGCTCAGTTGGTAGAGCATGGCGCTTGCAACGCCAGGGTTGTGGGTTCGTTTCCCACGGGAGGCCAGTATGAAAATGTATGCACTCACTAACTGTAAGTCGCTCTGGATAAGAGCGTCTGCTAAATGACTAAAATGTAAAATAACAACAGAGTGCTATATATATGGGGAGTAATCAGGAAGGTGATAGAGTCCAGGTGTGCCTGATGATGAGGCGCAGGTGTGCGTAATGATGGGCAGCCAGGGCCGGTGGTTAGTAAACTGGCGACGTTGAACATCGGAGGGGAGGAGCAGGAGTAGATGTGACAGATGGGGTTGAGATGAAGGCTCTGTGCAGGCCAGTCAAGTTCTTCCACACTGATCTCGACAAACCATTTCTGTATGGACCTCGCTTTCTGCACGGGGGCATTGTCATGCTGAAACAGGAAAGGGCCTTCCCCAAACTGTTGGAAGCACAGAATCATCTAGAATGTCATTGTATGCTGTAGCGTTAAGATTTCCCTTCACTGGAACTAAGGGGCCTTTATTCCTCCTCCAACAAACTTCACAGTTGGCACTATACATTGGGGCAGGTAGCGTTCTCCTGGCATCCACCAAACCCAGATTCATCCGTATGGCAATGGCAGCAAGCTTTACACTACTCCAGCCGATGCTTGGCATTGCGCATGGTGATCTTAGGCTTGTGTGTGGCTGCTCGGCCATGGAAACCCATTTCATGCTCCCGACTAACAGTTATTGTGCTGACCTTGCTTCCAGAGGCAGTTTGGAACTCGGTAGTGAGTGTTGCAACCGAGGACAATTTTCTTCAGCACTCTGTGGTCCCGTTCTGAGCTTGTGTGGCCTACTACTTCACGGCTGAGCCGTTGTTGCTCCTAGACATTTCCACTTCACAATAACAGCACTTACAGTTGACCGGGTCAGCTCTAGCAGGGCAGAAACTTTATGAACTGACTTGTTGGAAAAGGATCATCCTATGATGGTGCCATGTTGATTAATTAAATGCTCACATGCCCCCATCACTTCTATAATTTTTAGCTATCGGTGGCTAAAGTTACCTGAAGTTTGTAATGGCTGTTTAAAGACAACTGGACCATGGATTACAGTTTTTCCCAGCCCATAGATTACTTTCAAGGTGAGGAACCGTCTAACACCAAGTTGTAAAATAGTGAACTACTCCTTTAAGAGTACATCGTGGGCTGAGGGCACTCTGATAGTTTGCAGAAAATCGCAATCAAAATAAACGTTCTACCACAGCAGCCATGTTATTTTTGTGAAGCATATTTGATTCGGAGTTTGGACATATAAAGTTTGTATGTGAAAACTACAGGCATACATACAGTCAGTTGTTCTGAACACACATAACTCACGCTAAAGAGGGAGGCTCACTTGGCTGGTGCTAGCACATGCGCATATCAAATACACCGCTGGAACGCCGACTAAGGTGTTTGTTGTTTTAATAATTTGAAAGATTGCACAGAAAAACAGGGGTTTGACCTCACACCGATTAAGATAAACAGAGTAAGGTGTGACATGATTATTGCATAATCTGTCTACTGCCATAATCAGTTTCATATCCAATTATTAGTGTGCATGTAAACAATCTCTTGTGTATATAAACAATTGATGTAATCTGACCACAATCAATCATACAGCATAAATGCAATATGTCTGAACTTGTTGAACCTGGAATAGATTTGCACAAATAATAGCTTTATTTCAGCATGTGAATAATGCCAAAGAATTCACTGACTATGCCTGCAAGTCAGCAAAACATCTTAAAGCAATTTATAGAAAACATAGAACAGAGAAATATCATCATTGTTTTAAATGAACACATTTACTATAATATTCATAAAGAGAAACAGTCAGAGATGAGAGTAGCTGGCTATGTTTGTGTTCTTATTTTTGTACATTGGGCAACAGTTGCTAATTCCTATGTCACTTATAAGTGTTCCCTGATTGCAAAAAAGTAAAAAATATATAAATGCCATATCGGGCTCTGCTTGAGCATAGCCACCTGCCCTATACCATACAACTGTCTAAACACAACATAAACATCAGCAGACAATATATTATAAATATACATATGAAAACAATCAAATATCTCTTTCAAAGTAGAACACAACATAAGAGGTAATGAATGATGAGTAAAAAAAAACTGTAGACAAGCAGAGGCAATAATGGTTAGAGGATAAAGCTGCAAAGGCCACAGGGAATGTACTGATGGTGATGTGCACAGCTGCAGATGAAGTTTTGTTGCTGGACAGTTTTGGGATATATTGTTGGTGCAACTAGATCAGAATTTCACAAGGAAGGGACTGACATGCAGATCAACTGCAACATTGGACATACAGTACACTGATTGGACAAAACATTAAGAACACCTTCCTAATATTGAGTTGCCCCCCCTTTTCCCTCAGAACAGCCTCAATTCATCGGGGCATGGACTCTACAAGGTGTCAAAAGCCTTCCACAGGGATGCTGGCCCATGTTGACTCCAATGCTTCCCACAGTTGTGTCAAGTTGGCTGGATGTCCTTTAGGTGGTGGACCATTCTTGATACACAGAAAATTGTTGAGCGTGAAAAACCCGGCAGCATTACAGTTCTTGACACAAACCAGTGCGCCTGGCACCTACTACCATATCCTGTTCAAAGGCACTTCAATATTTTGTCTTGCCCATTCACCCTCTGAATGGCACACATACACAATCCATGTCTCAATTGTCTCGAGGCTTAGAAATCCTTATTTAACCTGCCTCCTCCCCTTCACCTACACTGATTGAAGTGGATTTAACAAGTGACATCAATAAGGGATCATAGCTTTCATCTGGATTCACCTGGTCAGTCTATGTAATGGAAAGAGCGGGTGTTCATAATGTTTTGTACACTCATTGCCACTGGTTGGAAATAGCGCCCTCCTCAGGTTTACTGTAGTTGTCTCTTTCTGCCCTTCCGCCAGTGAGATAAAGCACAATCTGAGGGAAGAAAATTGTGTAAGTGACAGATTAATCATTATAAAATCATACCTAAATATTTCTGATAAAATCATACCAACTGTTTCTAATGATCAATGACACTTCATGAAACTTTTTTTGGTCTGCTTTGAACATCCTAGCCATGAAGCAAGCCCTTAACCTATTCGCTCTATTTTTCTGTTGCAATGTTATTGCTGTTTTTATATTCATTATTCATGTTCCTCACATGAGTGCTTTATACTCCTTCCTGCCTTATATTTTTCATATGGAAAGCCCTTCAATTGATTTGTTAACAGATGTGCTATAGCCTCAACAACTCCACTGATCTCTCTGTAAAATAGGGAACAGATCAACCTTAAGAAGTGCTGTGTAGTTAATCGTGAATGATTCAGACGTGTTAACAGGCGTTAACAGAACATGTCCACGGCTCTATGCTATACATGTAAAGACAAAGAAAACAGTAAGAGGCCTGGCAAGACGTGTGGGAAGCAGCCAACACCTCACCTTCCCCTTTAAGATAGTGTCGAAATCAGCCAGTGTAACGTCTTTCCCACGGTCTGACATGATTTATCTTTCTTTATATTAACCCTTTCATCTAAGGGGTTGACTAACAAGGCAACACATAGCTATGTCTTACTGATATAGGACGTGTAAATGATTAATAAATAGGCTAACAGGAGATATTGACAGGCATGTCCAAGTCCTTTTATGGCACAGACCTCAATGGGTACTACAGTGTTGAATAAGAACATAGTGTCTACAGACACTGAAGAGACACAATGAACACAACAAGCCCATACAGTATGCCAAACCAGTTGAGTAGGTTTGTGTTCCTGGGGAAAATGCCCACTTTTGGTATTCAGCAGTCATACAACTATGCCTTATTTACTTTGAAGAACTACTAAAATAGTGATTTTGTCAGACAGCATAGGCAGCAGCTCTATAGAGATGAGATGATGACTTGGAATTAAATAATACATTCATCAAATAAAACAAATGTAATATACAGAACAACTAAAATATTGTATTAAAGTAAAGTAATGTGAATAAATTATGGTTAATAAGTGATAAGAAGTAATGGGCAATCACTACCATCATGACCCTTCATTAATTGTTTTATTTTGTGTTGCTACAGCATTCAACCCACATAACGCATAGTGCATTTAACGTCTAATGCACTACTTGTTATTCTAACATACACTACATGGCCAAAAGTATGTGGACACCTGCTCGTCGAACATCTTATTCCAAAACCATGGGCATTAATATGGCGTTCGCTGGGGTTGAGGTCAGGGCTCTGTGCAGGCCAGTCAAGTTCTTCCACACCAATCTCGACAAACCATTTCTGTATGGACCTCCCTTTGTAACACGGGGGCATTGTCATGCTGAAACAGGAAAGGGCCTTCCCCAAACTGTTGCCACAAAGTTGGAAGCACAGAATCATCTAGAATGTAATTGTCTGCTGTAGCGTAAAGATTTCCCTTCACTGGAACTAAGGGGCCGAGCTCGAAACATGAAAAACAGCCCCACACCCTTATTCCTCCACCAAACTTTACAGTTGGGACTATGCATTTGGGCAGGTAGCGTTCTCCAGGCATCCACCAAACCCAGATTCGTCCGTCGGACTGCCAGATGGTAGAGCGTGATTCATCACTCCAGAGAAGGCGTTTTCACTGCGCATGGTGATCTTGTGTGCGCCTGCTCGGCCATGGAAACCCATTTCATGAAGCTCCCGACGAACAGTTCTTGTGCTGACGTTGCTTCCAGAGGCAGTTTGGAACTCGGTAGTGAGTGTTGCAACCGAGGACAGGCGATTTTTATGCGCTACGCGCTTACTCGGCGGTCCCGTTTTGTGAGCTTGTGTGGCCTACCACTTGGCGGCTGAGCCATTGTTGCTCCTAGATGTTTCCACTTCACAATAACAGCACTTACAGTTGACCGGGGCAGCTCTAGCAGGGCAGAAATTTGACGAACTGACTGGAAAGATGGCATCCTATGATGGTCCCACGTTGAAAGTCCCTGAGCTCTTCTGTAAGGCCATTCAACTGCCAATGTTTGTCTATGGTGATTGCATGGCTGTGTGCTCAATTTTATACACCTGTCAGCAACAGGTGTGGCTGAAATAGCCGAATCCACTAATTTGAAGGGGTGTCCACATACTTTTGTATATATAGTGTATCATCTGACTTCTGTCACACTTTCACTAGTAGTTAAGACTCATGTTACAAGAGGAGGGATGAATGAAAACTGCATGTCTGGAAAAGTACACTCTTGATGGACAGTGGGTAATTGAATTAGAGAGGGCAGAGTTAAGAGGTAATGGAAGAGAGGAAGTACAGTAAGGGAATGAAGTGCACTCACAGTCTTGCTCTCCCTCTTCACTGGGAAAGCAGTCTTTGAAGAGACAGTGCATTGTCCGATAGCAGTTATCCAACAGAGATTTGGGGGTCACGAACCTCCAGCCTTTTGAGTCAATATCCTTCACTCTTTTGTAGATCTCCTCTATTCGCTCTGGTGGCTCTCTCTGAGAGATAAACATACATGGCCATTATGAGATAAGTTTGTTCAAACAGAGAGATGGGCAGAACAGTGATTGTGACACTATGTCCGGTCTTACACACCTCATCACTCTGTGTTGGGAACACCTGCTGGACCTTCCTGAAGAGATCCTCCAGGTCGGCGGTGTACTTGTAGGAGGGGTGTCTCTCTGGCAAGACCCTCAGGATCCTCTTCAACACCTCCTGGTTGACCAACAGCCACACATCCTGCAGGTCCCCGTCTTCCAGATCCTCCACCCTTGCCCTCTGGAGGTACAGAGAGAAGAGAAAGAAGTGTGGTAGATTGGAGTGGGATGGGGGAGGAACAGATCGAGATGTTTTATTTATTTTATCAAGGAGTCATACTGAGACCAAGGTCTCTTTTACAGATGAGCCCTGAATTACATAAATTACAGAAAATACACACATCAAAATATAAATACAAAATGCAAGCAGAAAGAAAGAAAAACACGGTAATAAAAAATAAAAACACATTCATCAGTAGTAAGGTCCTCAATCAGCTTTCTGAATTGCCCTAGTGGCACCAAAACATCATACACTGCTCAAAAAAATTAAGGGAACACTTAAACAACACATCCTAGATCTGAATGAATGAAATAATCTTATTAAATACTTTTTTCTTTACATAGTTGAATGTGCTGACAACAAAATCACACAAAAATGATCAATGGAAATCAAATTTATCAACCCATGGAGGTCTGGATTTGGAGTCACCCTCAAAATTAAAGTGGAAAACCACACTACAGGCTGATCCAACTTTGATGTAATGTCCTTAAAACAAGTCAAAATGAGGCTCAGTAGTGTGTGTGGCCTCCACGTGCCTGTATGACCTCCCTACAACGCCTGGGCATGCTCCTGATAAGTTGGCGGATGGTCTCCTGAGGGATCTCCTCCCAGACCTGGACTAAAGCATCCGCCAACTCCTGGACAGTGGCGTTGGTGGATGGAGCGAGACATGATGTCCCAGATGTGCTCAATTGGATTCAGGTCTGGGGAACGGGCGGGCCAGTCCATAGCATCAATGCCTTCCTCTTGCAGGAACTGCTGACACACTCCAGCCACATGAGGTCTAGCATTGTCTTGCATTAGGAGGAACCCAGGGCCAACCGCACCAGCATATGGTCTCACAAGGGGTCTGAGGATCTCATCTCGGTACCTGGAGGGCTGTGCGGCCCCCCAAAGAAATGGCACCCCACACCATGACTGACCCACCGCCAAAACGGTCATGCTGGAGGATGTTGCAGGCAGCAGAACGTTCTCCACGGCGTCTCCAGACTCTGTCACATGTGCTCAGTGTGAACCTGCTTTCATCTGTGAAGAGCACAGGGCGCCAGTGGCGAATTTGCCAATCTTGGTGTTCTCTGGCAAATGCCAAACGTCCTGCACGGTGTTGGGCTGTAAGCACAACCCCCACCTGTGGACGTCGGGCCCTCATACCACCCTCATGGAGTCTGTTTCTGACCGTTTGAGCAGACACATGCACATTTGTGGCCTGCTGGAGGTCATTTTGCAGGGCTCTGGCAGTGCTCCTCCTGCTCCTCCTTGCACAAAGGCGGAGGTAGCGGTCCTGCTGCTGGGTTGTTGCCCTCCTACGGCCTCCTCCACGTCTCCTGATGTACTGGCCTGTCTCCTGGTAGCGCCTCCATGCTCTGGACACTACGCTGATAGACACAGCAAACCTTCTTGCCACAGCTCGCATTGATGTGCCATCCTGGATGAGCTGCACTACCTGAGCCACTTGTGTGGGTTGTAGACTCCGTCTCATGCTACCACTAGAGTGAAAGCGCCGCCAGCATTCAAAAGTGACCAAAACATCAGCCAGGAAGCATAGGAACTGAGAAGTGGTCTGTGGTCACCACCTGCAGAACCACTTCTTTATTGGGGGTGTCTTGCTAATTGCCTATAATTTCCACCTGTTGTCTATTCCATTTGTACAACAGCATGTGAAATGTATTGTCAATCAGTGTTGCTTCCTAAGTGGACAGTTTGATTTCACAGAAGTGTGATTGACTTGGAGTTACATTGTGTTGTTTAAGTGTTCCCTTTATTTTTTTGAGCAGTGTATTTAAGAATTTTTTAAAGATTGTTCCACAAATAAGGTGCAAGAAAACTAAAAGCTGATTTACCTAACTTCCAGAATTTCAAGAGTTAGCCATACCTGAGACCAGGTGTGGTAACTCGTATGTCTAAAGTTTAGTAAAGATGTTAGGAACAGTGAGATATTTTGTAAAAGGGCTTTATAAATGAAAACATAGCAATGTATCAACCTATGTGACATCAAAGAGGGCCAACCAACTTTCTGGTAGAGAATGCAGTGATGAGTACTAAAATTGTCGCCCGTAATAAAGCGCAGTGCGCTATGATAAACTGCATCTAACAACTTTAATGAAGTGGCAGGTACATTCATATAGATGATGTCGCCATAGTCTAGGACCAATAAGAACGTCGACTGAATAATCGGCTTTCTACTATTTAGTGAGAGGCAGGACCTATTTCTAACTCATCAATATGCTTTTTAAAAGACAGCTTTTCATCTATTCAGATGCCCAGATATTTGTAAGCAGGGACACGATCAATATGGACACCATCCAAAGTACATAGTTATTTTTATGTGCTCTAGAGAACAACATATACTTAATTTTACCTGCATTCAGTACTAATTTCAGGTCAATAAAGTTTTTCTGTAATACAATGAAGGCAGACTGTAGTTCAGATAGAGCATGGTCAACGGTGTGGGCAATAGCATACACAACAGTATCATTGGCATACAAGTGCAGGTTACATTTTTTTACAGACAAGTCGATATTGTTAATATAAAGAGTAAAAAGTACAGGACCCAAAATCAATCGCTGCGGGACACCTTTCGTAATATCTAGGAAACCTGATTTAACACCATCAGTAGATATACATTGAGTTCTATCTGTCAAGTAATTTTAAAACCAGTTACATGCAGCCTGGTCTAGGCCAATTGAGGAAAGCCTCTGAATTAGTAGTGAGTGATCAACAGTATCGAAAGCCTTTTTATGTATTTTTTAATTTTTAATTTCACCTTTTATTTAACCAGGTAAGCCAGTTGAGAACAAGTTCTCATTTACAACTGCGACCTGGCCAAGATAAAGCAAAGCAGTGCGATAAAAACAACAACACAGAGTTACATATGGGATAAAACAAAACATAAAGTCAAAAATACAACAGAAAATATATATAGTGTGTGTGCAAATGTAGCAAGTTATGGAGGTAAGGCAATAAATAGGCCTTTGACAGGTCAATGAAGAGGGCAGCACTTTACCCCTACCTACATGTACAAATTACCTCGACTAACCTGTACCCCCGCACATTGACTCGGTACCGGTACCCTCTGTATATAGCCACGTTATTGTTATTTTGTTTTACTTTAGTTTATTTAGTAAATATTTTCTTAACTCTTTCTTGAACTGCATTGTTGGTTGAGGGCTTGTAAGTAAGCATTTCACGGTAAACTGTTGTATTTGGCGCATGTGACAAATAAAATGTGATTTGATTTGAGTCAGCTAGAGGCTGGCAGAGGGAAGAGCAGTCGATTGTCTGACCAGGGTCAATTAAACCACCGTTTGTCTTAAATAAAAAGCCTGCCGATTGATTAAAAGCATCACTTATCCCATTCTTCTCAGTTATGATGCCAGAGTCAGACATAACTCTCTTAGGTAGGGAAGAAGAGGAATTTGTACGCTTCCGTGCATTTACTGTTTTCCCAAATTTTGAAGGATCCCCAGCAATCAGAGATAGAGCTTAAAAGGTAGCTTGATTTAGCTTCTTATTCGAGATAGTACATCTGTTTCTCAATTGTCTGAAAGATTGCCAGTCCACCACAGTCAGTTTTCCTTGCTTTGGCCCAGGCCTGATGTCTCATCTGAATGAGCTCAGATAGCTCCGAAGAAAACCAAGGGTTAGATCTATCTTTGACTCTGAATTGTTTAAAAGGGGTGTGTTTATCTGCCAGAGGAATAAATATGGAGGATCAATTTTCTAGAGCCAACTCAGGGTTAGGAATACAAGAGACAGTGGCTAAATCAGAGTATAACATGCCATGTAAAAACCCTTGAGATACATTTTAAAAAGTTATCTTCTTAATTAAATGAGGATTAGTATTTTGCTGTTTCGTATCTCTAATACATACTATGGGACTATGATCACTGAGATCATATGCAAATACTCCACTAGACAAATATTTATGGGGGTTATTAGTAAGAATTAAATCAATCAATGAGGAGTTAACAGGGTTTATCCCATTTAGCCATGTGGGTTTTGAGATCAATTGAGTAAAACCCAGCAACAAATACATGTGTATTCTGGTTTAGGACACATCTACAACCAGGAGCAAACATTTCTTGGGAACAGAAATATTTAAAGATTGGGACCCCATGAAATTTGATTTGACATATGGCTAATTACAGGCTGTGAGATGGGGACGGAGGGGGTCAGCTTGGTTGGTGAATTGGTTGGTTATGTTGGTTGGTTGGGCTGCTTGGTTGGTGGGTTCTGATTCAGCTGTTGGCTTGGTCCTGGGTTTTTGTGCGACTCTTTGTAGAGTGGATGGTGGTGGCTGAGAAATTCCTGCCTTCGCTCATGTAGCTCCTTCTGCAGGTCCTGCATGTGGCTGGTGTTGACTGTGCTGGACAGTTCCTCTCTAAGACTGTGCACTTCCATCCTGAGAGCCTGGTTGTCCTCCTCAACATTTTTCATTGCACACTGCAGCTCACAGATCTCATCCCTATGCTGACGCACCAGGCTGATCTCCTCCTCTATAAGATGCTGTGGTACTGCAGGTGTCCCGTGTGAGAGAGGCATGCTCAGGGCTATGTCTGCTGCAGGTGAGGGAGGGAGAGGGACACTGGGGACTACATACTGGGGCACAGAGAGAGTGGAGGCTGTTGTAGGTACTGACAGTGGAGAGGTTTTAAGTTCAGCCACAATAGGTTTTATTTTGTCGAAGGAGTGGACAAATTGATCCAGACTGGCCTCCGAGCCTTGAACCATCACAGTGCCGTTATTATAAATATTAATGTTAAATTTGGGAGTGCCTCATTGTTAGGTTTTCTGACATTTTAAGTTAATTGTTGGTCTTGCGGAGAGCTTTGTGCCAAGCATTAGGATCATCCATGTAGAACAGAAAGCCTCCTTTTATTTCCTTGTTCACTTTTAGGATGAAGTCTGCCCTCAGAGTCTCTAGGGATTCTCATAGCAATTTCTTTTTCCTGACTCACTTCAAAAATGTTCAGGATAGCCCCAGTCGGTATTCACGTAATAATAAGGAATTCCCCTCGACCACGCCCACAAATTGGGGAAAACCAACATTATGTTCTATTGACCCCCATTTCTATTGACCACCAAAAACGTAGTCGTTGATTTTTTGTTATACAGAACTAACAAAACATGCCGAAAGGCTGCTGTGCTGTTCAATGTACATGTAGCCAGGTCAAAAATCCCGACCTACGTTTCGCATTCCTCCCACGTAGGGAAATAGAGTCTGCGAGAAGAGCCCTGTGGCTTCAGGCTATGTCGTGGGAGAGTGGGAAATGTGGGGACCCAGTGTCCAAGTAGGCTACACGTAGCTAGGTGTGTGGAAAACATTTAATCCCAGGTAAGACATTTAACTTGTTTAGTACAGTCCGTTTGTAACTCCACTCACTACTTGTAGTGGCTGCTAGCATAGTAATGAAAAGAAGCATGAGGGAATCCCTACAATATTACGTTTTTCTAAGTAGTGAGAACGCTAGGGAGCAGGCAATGTTGAAAAGCAGGCAATGTTGGATGTTGTACTTTTCTTAAATGTAGTTTTGTAATTTACTAAAACAAGCAAACAAGAAAATTGCATTTGAAAAAGGTCAAGTTTTTGTTGTGAGCCAATGGGGTAACCTAAGTAACCACAGGTTGTTTTCCCCACAGGCAGGCAGGATTGCGACGTTCTATTTAATACCAACTGGGTCTATACGTGATGGCCATAGAAATAAGAATAAATAGAATGGGCGTCCCCATTCAAGTCAAAGATGGCATAATGGGTGGACTGGTGGCCATTACTAATGTACCCATAGGAGCAAAGCTGGAAGTAAAGGCAGGAAATAAAAACATTCCATTGCATGAACCACATGCAAAAAGTTCTACAGCTGCACCATCGAGAGCATCCTGACTGGTTGCATCACCACCTGGTATGGCAACTGCTCGGCCTCTGACCGCAAGGCACTACAGAGGGTAGTGCGTACGGCCCAGTACATCACTGGGGTCAAGCTTCCTGCCATCCAGGACCTCTATACCAGGCAGTGTCAGAGGAAGGCCCTAAAAATTGTCAAAGACTCCAGCCACCCTAGTCATAGACTGTTCTCTCTGCTACCTAACGGCAAGCGGTACCGGAGCGCCAAGTCTAGGTCCAAAAGGCTTCTCAACAGCTTCTACCCCCAAGTCATAAGACTCCTGAACAGCTAATCATGGCTACCCGAACTATTTGCACTGCCCCACAATTTTTTTAGATGACTAATGTTACTGTCCCCTCTATAACAAAAACATTGTTAAATACATTTAATTTTGTCCTTGAAACATTTAATTGAAATACTGTAGAATTCCATTTATTCCTATGGAGGACTGCTCCTACTGGGGAGTGCCAATATTGCAGTCAGGTGGCTTCAAAGTCTCTCAATGGCCAATACATAGCATCAGCAATCCAGGGTGTATACAAAGACAGTACAGTATGATGATAGGCTAAAACTGCTTCTCCAATTGAAATCCCCGATGACACTTGTAGGCAATGTCATGGCTAGCTAAAAGGCGCTGCATGGTCAATCTGACATCTGCATTGGCCGTGCAGTATTTACGCTACAGAAGTCAGGGCATTCATATTTATTGCGCTTTGTGGAGCAGTGCAGAGCTGTTGAGCAGAGCTGTTGTGAAGGAAGTTGGCAAGAAAGTAAGTTTGTGTTTATACAGAACCTCCCACCCCCGGCTACTGTCAACCAATCATGTTTGGAATACTGGCACACAGCTCGGACACCCATGCATATCCCAGAAGAGATGCCACCAGAGGTCTCTTCACAGTCCCCAAGTCCAGAACGGACTATGGGAGGCGCACCGTACTACATAGAGCCATGACTACATGGAACTCTATTCCACATCAGTTAACTGATAGCAGTAGAATCAGATTTTAAAAAAACAGGTAAAAATACACCTTGTGGAACAGCGGGGACTGTGAAGAGACACACACACAGGTACATACACACATGCATATAGACACTCACTATACACACACGTACACATGGATGTAAATATGTGATAGTGGAGTAGTGGCCTGAGGGAACACACTAAATGTATTGGGTAAAGTGTTATGAAATATAATGTCATGTAATATTTTAAATTGTATATAACTGCCTTAATGTTGCAGGACCCCAGGAAGAGTAGCTGCTGCCAGCTAACGGGGATCCTTAATAAATACAAATACAAATGTCAATGCGGAGCTGTATGGAGCTATACAGAGCCCTCCGCATTGTTACAAAATTTGGGGGGTGCATGGCGATGCGGTACAGAGCTCAATTTGGCCTCTGCATGCCCCCGGAGGCTCCGCAATTGCGTCACACCCTCCATAAGGAGCTTCCGACCAAATTTTCTGATCAAGCACAAATTAGCTTTTAGCTAGCTAAGCTCATGCGTTGGGTCTAACGGCGGTCACATGTTCAACTACTTAAGACGTTGGCTCGAATCTAGGTTGTGCCTTTAGATTTTGAGAAAATCAACAAACTAATGAAAAAAAAAATATCTCATTGCCTTCTCAAAACCCGGCCGGGTCTGTTTGGTCTGTTTCAAAAGCATTCCCAGAATTCTCGCGATATTGCACCTTCGGGTTTAGTAACTATGTGGTTTATATACATCATTGGATAGAACGCCTGCCTGTGGGGAAAACAAGGTGTAGTTACCTACGTTACCCCATTGGCTCGCAGCAAAAACTTGACCCTTTTCAACGCAATTTTCTTGTTGTCTGCTTGTTTTAGTCAATTACAAAACAACATTTAAGAAAAGTATAACATGTCTAAATATTACTTTTCAACATTGCCTGCTCCAGAGCGTTCTCACTACTTAGAAAAACGTTAATATTGCCCCTTTTCATGACGGTACTAGCAGCCACATGAGTGAGTGCTAGCTAGCTACCGACCGGAACATTAAGCTAGCCAACACCAACAACACAAACAAATGGACTATACAGCTACAAGTAGTGCGTGGAGTTACAAATGGACTATATTAAACAAGTTAAATGTCTTATTATTTTTTTGAGCAGTGTATGTACATTGAACAACACATCAGCTTTTCGGCATGTTTTCTTATTTCTGTATAAAAAGCAAGAGCTGGCGCACACCCAGAGAACATTCTTTAGTGTAGAGGTGATTACTAACGGTGAATAAACTGTAAGCTATAAAAACAAAGAGAGTCGCACACTCCATATGTATGACCTCCCTGTCATTTATTGTGTAAAAAAACAAAAGATCGACTACAATGTTGACTCTTTTACAATGGGTGTGAAAGGGAAATAATGTTTGTTTTCCCCAATTGGTGTGCGTGGTCGAGGAGAATTCCGTATTATTACGTGAACTTGGGCTATGGAATTGGTTGCTAGGGGACTGATGGAGTGATAAGAGTGAAGATAAAGGAGGGAGAATAAGGAAGCAATGTAGTGCTCCTGTAAGTCGCTCTGGATAAGAGCGTCTGCTAAATGACTAAAATGTAAAATGTAAATGTAGACGACGGGTGAGTGGGCGGTGTGACAAGTAGATTTTTCACATTACTTAAGTTAGATCAGTGATAATGATAAAGGTTAGGAAACAAAGGGAGGGACTCACCAGCCTGGTGATGTTGCTGAGTTTGAAGACCTCCTCATAGTGAACTCTGATGGTGTAATTAATGGGGAAATTGTGCTTCTGTTAAAAAGACAGGAAAGATTTGGTGTCAGATTGTGTTTGTAGAAAAATACCACCTTTAATGTAATCTCCACATGTATCAACTGTCATTGTCATTATTCTATGCTGTAGTCTTGCCTAATTTCATTAATATTCCAAACTTGTTGTAACTGTCCCAATATATCCTGTCCCCTTCTTACCATGTTACGTCTTCTGCCTATGAGTTTGTTTTCCAATGTCTTCAAAGACGTGCACTGGGCAGTTGTGGGTGTCATCAAAACAGGTAGTACACATATCAAACCTACAGGGGGCACAACATACATATGAAATCATATAACATGTCACTCACTGACGCAGTTAAATATTCTAAAACAGTTTCATAGCAGTATTGAAGTGGTATAATTGTGGTGAGAACTGAACTCAGATGAGTAAAGATGTTAAGACTGTCACAGTGCAAAGCCAGACCATAGCTCCTAGCTAGACATCTGTGGTTGCTAACCATGACCTCTTCTTTCCATCAGACTCATCATCTCACTGAGAATCCACCAATCTAAGAGAATGCCCCAACTGAGCCAGATTACAATACTGAGTAAACACTTTATTTTCACACAACAATAATCTCCTCTAAAACACTTCACCTTAATATGCATGTGGTCAAGTGCAGGAGACATCCAATACAGACATGGTCAGCGGTACATTTTTGCTATTATGTTTGAGATCACAGGATTTGGTTTGGTCCTGTGGTCTAAACGCAGATTGAGACAGTAGTGCCTATTTTGACAAAAGGGTATTTTTTCTCAGGAGTAACTAACTCTGACTAGCACCTTTTCATAGAACGTGGGGGGCAGAGTGAGTGGTTACATGCAGTCCAAAGCCAGTCTGTTGTGGATCAGTGTGTGGTTAGATCCTGTGGTCGAGGGCTTGGATGCAGATGGCTGTATAGAGACTCAGAGTCAGCAAAGACCCCAAGACCTCACAGCACACTTCACAAAGCATCAAATACCTCACTCACCCAACCCCCCTCTCTTGCTTTCAATACACGTTCTTCCTCTCATTCTTTACTCCTGTGTGTGTATTTCTTTCTCTCTGTTACAGGACGTGGTTAGATACAAAGATACCTCGGTTTAACTGCTTTTTTGCAACAGAAACCGGACCTATGCAACACTTTTTTTTGGTCTCTCTATCTGAGATAGAAACTGATCAGACCTATAGACGTCTTCTACAGTCTCTCCCCTATGCACTTTCTAGCTTGAGCTCTCTGAAATACACATTGTTTGTCTATTATGACTATTATGAGTTATGGTTAGGGTTACAGTTCTTCAGTTTAAAGGTGGGGGGGGGGGCTTTGATCTCTTTTACGAGAACACTTTAGAGGTTTCTCCATAGCAGAACAACCTTTGTGTAAACCGTGATGAAGGTCTATTGTCCGAAACATTTGTGGTCCATTAAACCCTTTGTAGAATATACAAAAAAAAAAGAAAAAAAAGAAGCCATTTAGCAGACGCTTTTATCCAAAGCGACTTACAGTCATGCGTGCATACATTTTTGTGTATGGGTGGTCCCGGGGATCGAACCCACTACCTTGGCGTTACAAGCACCGTGCTCTACCAGCTGAGCTACAGAGGACCACGAATGTCAGTGTGCTTGACTTTCTTTTAATTACATACATGTGCAAACGAGGGTGCCCAATGGGAAAAGGTATGCATCATTCGATTTACCACTGTCCAAAGACAACTGGGGCTCAGTTGCTGAACAGACATATGGTACTATAAACTCCCAGCGGTCTCTACTGACAGATGTATTTCCTCACACTATTAAGGGCCTCTTAGCTCTCAGTAGGCATAGAAGTGTCTGAAGTGATGGCGCCTCGCCCAGCCCATTGCAACACAAACATACATTTTTAAGAAACCAGGAATAACATACATTATGTCAAACTAAACTCCCGGGAACATAATCTCAGTTCTGATCCCACACAACTACATCCCCACAATATGTCAAGACTCTAGCCTTTGGCCTAATACGTAGTTCCCAGGGCAGTTGCTGTAGGTTAGAGTGACATTCGCAAGCCCCCCAATTCTTCACACATGCACATGCACCACAGGACTTCTCTTACCCAATAGAGCTCCCAGGAGCCAGGCTGTTGACTGGACCATGCTCCAACGTATGCCCCTGTTTAAACCCGCTGGAGGCCTCTGACTCAGAGCACACTATTCCAGAGCACCACCAGGCCCTTCTCGCTCCTTGTTAGCCTGTAACAGCAACACACACAGACAGGCCTTTTTAGACAGTTCAACATTCACTTTCTTCACTGGTTTCAATCAGATTTGTTCTGAATAGCTATGAACAACACAATACCCTTGTCAAGTTGAAAGGACAGGAAATAATCAATGTACAGTATACGTTGGCATTCGATGACAGACGTGTGTGTACATCTAGGGCCACCAACCACTTAATGCCAAAATAAGTTTGAATATTGAAACACTGCATTGCCAAAACCAGTGCATAAACACATAGCTGCGGGAAGATGTTTGGGGGTGGGGGAGATTTTTTATTTTTTTGCCTGTGCTACAGACGGCTGTATCGGTCCGCTAATACAGGACTAGTAAAGGCCCAAAAGTATGTGGTCACCCCTTCAAATTAGTGGATTCAGCTATTTCAGCCACACCCGTTGCTGACAGGTGTATAAAATCGAGCACACAGCCATGCAATCTCCATAGACAAACATTGGCAGTAGAATGGCCTTACTGAAGAGCTCAGTGACTTTCAACGTGGCACCGTGCTGCCACCTTTCCAATAAGTCAGTTCGCCAACTTTCTGCCCTGCTAGAGCTGCCCCGGTCAAATGTAAGTGCTGTTGTGAAGTGGAAACGTCTAGGAGCAACAACGTCTCAGCCGCAAAGTGGTAGGCCACACAAGCTCACAGAACGGGACCGCCAAGTGCTGAAGCGCGTAGCTCGTAACAATCGTCTGTCCTCGGTTGCAACACTCACTACCGAGTTCCAAACTGCCTCTGGAAGCACAATAACTGTTCGTCGGGAGCTTCATGAAATGGGTTTCCATGGCCGAGCAGCAGCACACAAGCCTAAGATCGCCAAGCGTCGGCTGGAGTGGTGTAAAGCTCGCCGCCATTGGACTATAGAGCAGTGGAAACGCGTTCTCTGGAGTGATGAATCACGCTTCACCATCTGGCAGTCCGACGTACGAATCTAGATTTGGCGGATGTCAGCAGAACGCTACCTGCCCAAATGCATAGTGCCAACTGTAAAGTTTGGTGGAGGAGGAGTAATAGTCTGGGGCTGTTTTTCATGGTTCGGTCTAGGCCCCTTAGTTCCAGTGAAGGGAAATCTTAATGCTACAGCATACAATGACATTCTTGATGATTCTGTGCTTCCAACTTTGTGGCAACAGTTTGGGTAAGGCCCTTTCCTGTTTCAGCATGACAATGCCCCAGTGCACAAAGCGAGGTCCATACAGAAATGGTTTGTCGAGATCGGTGTGGAAGAACATGACTGGCCTGCACAGAGCCCTGACCTCAACCCCATCGAACACCTTTGGGATGAATTGAAACGCCGATTGCGAGCCAGGCCTAATAGCCCAACATCAGTGCCCGACCTCACTAATGCTCTTGTGGCTGAATGGAAGCAAGTCCCCATAGCAATGTTCCAACATCTAGTGGAAAGCCTTCCCAGAAGAGTGGAGGCTGTTATAGCAGCAAAGGGGGGACCAACTCCATATTAATGCCCATGATTTTAGAATGAGATGTTTGACGAGCAGGTGTCCACATACTTTTGGTCATATAGTGTATATATATATATATATATATATATATATATATATATATATATATATACTGAACAAAAATATAAACGCAACATGTAAAGTGTTGGTTCCATATTTCATGAGCTAAAATAAAAGATGTCAGAAATGTTTTTCTCAAAAAAAGCTTATTTCTCTCAGATTTTGTGGACAAATTTGTTTACATCCCTGTTAGTGAGCATTTCTCCTTTGCCAAGACAATCCATCCACCTGACAGGTGTAGCATATCAAGAAACTGATTAAACAGCAGGTGGACCTTGTGCTGGGAACAATAAAAGGCCACTTTAAAATGTGCAGTTTTGTCACACAACACAATGCCACAGATCTCTCAAGTTGAGGGAGCGTGCAATTTGAATGCTGACTGCAGGAATGTCCACCAGACCTGTTGGCAGAGAATTGAATGTTAATTTATCTACCATATGCTGCCTCCAACGTTGTTTTACAGAATTTGGCAGTACGTAACTAAGTAAAATCGTTGAAATTGTTGCATGTTGCATTTATATTTTTGTTCAGTGTGTATATATATATATATATATATATATATAGCATCATGTCTTCTTGGGTATGACGCTACAAGCATGGCACATCTATATTTGGGGAGTTTCTCCCATTTTTCTCTGCAGATCCTCTCAATCTCTGTCAGGTTGGATGGGGAGCGTTGCTGCACAGCTATTTTTCAGGTCTCTCCAGAGATGTTCGATCAGGTTCAAGTCCGGGCTCTGGCTGGGCCACTGAAGGACATTCAGAGACTTGCGTTGTCCTGAGGTACTGAGTGCTCTGGAGCAGGTTTTCATCAAGGATCACTCTGTACTTTGCTCTGTTCATCTTTGCTTCAATCCTGACTAGTCTCCAAGTCCCTGCCGCTGAAAAAAACAATCTCGAGCTCTACGGACAATTCCTTCGACCTCATGGCTTGGTTTTTGCTCTGAAATGCACTGTCAACTGTGGGACCTTATATAGACAGGTGTGTGCCTTTCCAAATAATGTCCAATCAATTGAATTTACCACAGGTGGACTCCAATGAAGTTGTAGAAACATCTCAAGGATGATCAATGGAAACAAGATGCACCTGAGGGTCTGAATACTTATGTAAATAAGGTATTTCAGTTTTTTATTTTTAATACATTTGCAAACATTTCTAAAAACCTGTTTTCAATTTGCCATTATGGCGTCTTCTGTGTAGATTGCTGAGGAAATTGTTATATTTAATCAATTTTAAAACAGGGCTGTAACGTTACAAAATGTGGAAAAAGTAAAGGGGTCTGAATACTTTCCGAAGGCACTGTATATGTATATATATATATATATATATATATATATATATATATATATATACACATATATATATACATATATACATACACAGTGGGGAGAACAAGTATTTGATACACTGTCGATTTTGCAGGTTTTCCTACTTACAAAGCATGTAGAGGTCTGTAATTTTTATCATAGGTACACTTCAACTGTGAGAGACGGAATCTAAAACAAAAATCCAGAAAATCACATTG